AAAAGGGCCAACGATAGACAAAAAGTTAAAGTTAACAATAAGCTGCTGATTGATCCAAAAGAAAAAGCAACTGAGTTCAATAAATTCTTCTTTATCTCTGTCAATGAAACGATTCCTTATATATAAACCACCCGCCAAATGTGCGTCAGTGTACACTTCCAACTGAATGCCGATCATGCTGTTATTTTACCATCTGCTAAACGCACACAGGGAGCATCCTTCATGCTCACAGCAGCCTTGGAGAACATGGCTTCTTCTGTCCTGTCTTTATTGAACAACAAAAGAACAGATTTGACGATGTTAAGAAAAAAAAAACATAAAACTGGACCAGTTCAATGTGTTCTTGGGACAGTAGAACTTGACCTTGTGCATGAGTTCAAGTATCTCGGATCACCCTGGGACCGACACCATCTTTAAAAACACATCAAACTCATAGCGAACACAGTCAAACTCAATGTCCTAACAAATTAGACCATCAATGACAATTACCTTGGCTAAAATGTTCCTACACTCTACCATATGTTCACACACAGACGGGTGCATCACTCTTTTAAAGCCAATAGAAATGCTTTTCAAAAGTCTATACAATTCTTGATCAAAAACCTTTGTCACTTCACCAGTGCACTATTCTGGTAAAATATAACATGCTCAATTTTTAAATGTTTTTATACATTTTAAAAATTGCTGCTTAAAGAGCAAGTCACCCCCAAATCAACTATTTTTGCTGATAAACTATAGAAATGTGTTTAAGTGTGCTGTAGACACGTGTACTGTTAAGCATCAATCTTAACCCATCAAATGCAAAGTCAAGCGTTATTTTGAGCAGAACCGCACTTGGAGAAACATTTTCCAACTAGTTCTGGACGGCACACTTCCTGGAAGAACTCTTGTGCTTTCTTTAGCTGTGGTTCACAGAAATTCACATCAGGAAAGATGTGCACCACAGCCACGTCTTTTACTGTCCAAACAAAGTGTCAGTGTTTGGAGATGGTGATATATATTTGTGCTTGCACCACCTGTGTGTAATAGGGATGCTCCTTCTTTAATCAAGGGCCATTTCCAGCAGACTCCAGGCAGAAGTCTTTATCTTGTGCATCCGCGGCTTGCTTTATGATGTCCATTCTATTTTTAAAAGGACACCTAATCTCCAGGCAACCCTTCCCATCAGGGGATGCTCCAAGTTCTGGAAAACTGGTAATCACAATGAAACCACATGGTCAAACTTGAGTTTTCTTGTGATGTGCAGTGATGACTTCAGTGTAGGCATCATGCATCTCTTTCATGCTCCAATCCCCATCTAGGTAGTTTGTGTAACAGACACAGAATAATCAGCGTAGCACACTCGATTAACAGCACTGATGGCTGGTCTTGCTAAACTTGTGGCAAATACCGCACGCACGACTGAAGCTGAGATTCTCCCTGAACGCCACTTAAGCCAGTTTGGACTCTGGTGCTGAGGTCTTGTGTGTTCTTCGGTTGCTTCAGCCTGCTTTTCTGTCACTGCTGCAGCTGTCAGGTGCTTTTTGCAGCAAAGCTGTAGATCTGGGAGGTCAAGGGACTGTTTGTTTTGTTCATGCAAAGATTCCAAAGACTGCGGTAACGTAGGTGACTGTACAGTGTAAACCCGCAGCCTTACTGTGCTCTAGCAGTGATACTAACAGTGGCGACATCCTCCATATTAGCAGGTGTGATCTTCGGTATAGGAGACCTGATTCTTAAAGCATTCACTAAAGACTGTGTGCTTTTTGTTAATCGATAGCCTTTTTTTGGGCTGTTGAAGTGGCGACGTCACTTTTATGGCCCACCTCAGGCTGTGTTTAGGACAAATTGCCAAGCCCAACTCGGTAAGCTGGCTCATCAGTACCAGTCTGTGTACCACGGATTTGCACGGTGGCTTCAACTTTAAACAAAAGAGCTGGGCATGGGTGTAGCTCTCAGCAACCTGGCCGTACAGCCTGTACAACCGTACAAGTGCAGGGGGCAGCTTCAGCCTTGCTGGTGGCGCTCACAATGACCCGTGGAAGCAGCGCTGGTTCCTCCAGCCTGTGGGAGTACAGTACCTGCAACCAGGCATGCAGATAGTGTGGGGGACAGGGGGGATCTGCACCCCCCCACCCACCCCCAGATTCAGATCGACTGCGACCCCCCCCCCCCCCCCCCCCCCCCCACTAAGGCCAAGAAAACAAAATCGGAGTTTAAGCGCCTGAAGCTCATTTTTCCAATTATATTGAATGCAGCATGACGTAAACAAACACTGACTCCAGAGGCGCCAAAGTGGTTGCTGCTAGGACGCAGGATGAAGCGAAAAAGACAAGCAACGATTACTGCGTATTTAAAAAAGACCAACAGTGTACGTAGGCGGGACCGATCTGTCTGTTTATGTGTGTTGGTTCTAGTTTCAGTACGTTGTTGTCAGTGTTGGGACTTACTCATTATAAGCACCAAAGCCTCATTGCTGACTTTAACAAGTCTCATCTACAAATATGATCCCTCATGAAGTTAATACTTTACACCAGAAGATGGTGGAGATGTGGAACCTTCAGGCTGAGCAAAGTTTGGGAGTTTTTAGAGCTTGAAAAATGCCGCCGAGAGGCTCCCAGTCGGGGAGAGGAGGAGATGCGTGCAGCATGAAGAGCGCAAATATGAGATAAAACGTATAATTGCCGGCAGTTCTTGTCTTTGTTGACTGATCACTTTGTCTGGTAATGACTGACTCTGATTATGAAGCAGAATATTGACTCTGATGAAGAAATTCACTCATCCAGCTGGGAAGATTGACGCTGCTGCAGCATCAGACAGCTGGTGCTGCACGAGAGGTGTGTGGAGTTTACAAGCTCCAAACGTTGGGCTTGATGTTGGTTTAACCTTCTCTGGGACGTGATGGATGTAGAAATGATGGTAAAAACACCGCTAACGTGACAGACGTAGCGACAATGTAAAAAAAAAAGCCGTAAAAAGGGGCAGATGCAGATGCGTTCAGTCTGGGAGACAAGTGTGTCACATAATCATAAAAAAAGTAAAATATAAAATTTTAAAAGAGATTTATATATTTATATATATTTATATATTTATATATAAATAAAAAGTTTCCAAATATAATGAAAATTTCTAAATAATGAAAAAATACGAAGGAACATCTGTCGGTCAGGCTGAAAAGTTTGGGAACTACTGCTCTAAGTGATAAGTGAATTTCGTTTTTTAATATATTTAATGTGCAGTTTTTTTAGAGCTTTTATGTTTTCTGTAAAGATCGGTGTGCTGAAAATCATTTAATGTTTTGCATAAAGCATGAGGTTTTGATTAGTAATTGATTGGAAGAATAACAAATGACTGAATTAAATAGTGGGGCGCGTCTGTCAGTGCGCCCCAGGGCAGCTGTGGCTACATCGTAGCTCATCACCATCAGTGTGCGAATGTGTGTGAATGGATGAATGATACACTGTAGTGTAAAGTGCTTTGGAGTCCTTAGTCTGAGAGGCGCTATACAAGTGCGGATCATTTATCATTTATAGTGTTGATCAGAGCTTTGTTGCCAGCGTTCCTCTGCATAATGGCTTCAAACATGCATAAAAAAGTGTTAGTTTTTACGTAAACCATTGGATGAAATTACACAAACTGACTCAGCTCTGGTTAAGGCGCTTGCAATAGTTTGTGTATGTGTACGTGCCTGTGGGTGGGTGTGTGTGTGTTTGGGGGAGGGTACATTGGAACTTTGTCCCCCCCAGTTTGAAAATCCTATCTGCGCCCCTGCCTGCAACAGAAAAACCACATTAATGTAATCCCATTCACTTGAATCAGGCCAGGGCAACGCTAATGTATGCTATGGTTTAAAATCTATTATTTGTTAGCATAACAATGGATTTGTTTAGAAAATTGGCTTTTATGCTGGGGGGAATATCCGACTGACATCATGTTAGGATGTTATCGCTTTCAATAGAGAAGAAGCATCAAGTTCTGTTTAAATTTCAGTTTTGAGTGAGTTGTGACCATTTAATAGGGTTAGGAATTTCTGCAGTTCATCCATAAGTGTATGAAACTAAAATCAAATTCATGTTTTTTATTATCATGAACACAAATCAGCAACGGAGTAAGCAAATGGCAGTTCTCTTCAGAGTGAGTGGGAGTCTCAAAGTTATCAGTCTGGATTGTTACTCAGCAGTAATAGTAAAGTGACTTACTTTTGCATGAATGATCACGTAATCACAATGTTGAGGCTTAAAGAATCCAAATCATGCAGCCAACCATTGGTGAACGGGATCTGCGCCTCCAGAGACGTAATTCCTAAGCTGGTTAGGGTGTAGGCACCCATTCCACAGACAAGATAAGAAAATATCTCCGGGAAGGACCAAGGGGGTGGATCTCCTGGGTCTCTTCTCCTTTGCCGTACTTCATACGGGTCCACATTTCCCAGACACTCGATCTTCTGGAAGTATCTTATTTTGGCATCCGGACGTAATTTGTCTCGATGTGTTCCTTTCTCTTTGGAGCTGATCTTAAGCATGATTAGTGACATTCTTCTCTTGATTTGGTTTGCAGCCAATAAAGATGGAGCAGCAAACCCACAATGGACTCCACGATGACTTCGGTTCCAAAGCCCTATTCAACCCCCCCCCCCCCCCCCCACACACACACACACACACACACACATGCACACGCACACACACACACACACACACACACACACACACACACGTTTTGCCTTTCAGTCACTCAACTGTTTCAAGTCAGCAGAAACATAAAACTCTGTCTAACAAAAGCTGCTCCAGCCTGAGGATGTCTGTGTGACCTTTGACCTTAAACTATGTATTTTGGTTTTATCTGTTTGAGGATCTGGTTCCAGATCTGAAACAAGTGACAAATACAAATATTTACTGACTTTAGACTCTAACCAACACTCAGCGGTAAACACACACAGCTGTGTGCACTCGTCAAGCCCCGCCCACTCAGGCCCTCTAATCTAATTTGTTTTCTATTATCCGGGAAAAAGCAGCAGGAAACAAAGGAGCCATGCAGGAATTAAGATGTGAACAGAGAGAAAGAAGGTGAGGGAGCGTGACGCAGAGAGAAAGTAAAGAACGACAGATTCCGATTGACTTCCTGGATCTGGGAGGAGGACAGAAAACAAATTAGGGTGAGAAAAGAGGAGGATAAAGAGGGACCTCATGTTGATTAAGTTGGACTGGGATGAATACCAATGAATGGAGTGCTGATCAGCAGTGCACAAGTACTTCTCTGAGAAAACCCAGTGGGACCTTCTCCGCTCTTGTCGGAGCTGTGGTTGGATAAATCCACGTGCCAGAAGTGGATTCTGCTGATGCTCTGCAGGCCTGCAGCTGGGCCTCGGTGCTGCTGGATGTCAGAGCAGTTTGTGCACAGTGCTGTCAGACTGACAGTCCTCCTGTCCAACAGTAAGTCTTTACTGTAGCTCTGTTCTGCTGATCCGTCTCCGGGGGAATCACAGAAGAAGTGTTGTGGAAGCAGAAGAGGGAAGTTCATATTGATCAGCTTGGTCCAACACCAGAACAAATGGAAGATTAATGGCCTGGTGAGTGTCTCTCAAACCTTCTGGCCTTTCACTTGAGTAGTTAACTGCCAACGTGCCGACCTGGCTGAGCCGGCTCGGGAGCACATGGAGCTCCGACTGAAGTATGGATTTTTGGGTTGATGTGTATTTTATTTACTTATTAATGTTTAATTATGAATAATACCTGAACGTGTGGATCATGAACTGCTGATACACACGGTGCAGCTCTAGTGTGGAGTTGACTTGAATGAGTTTCTAGTTTTAAAGTAACACAGAGCTGTTTCCTGCTCCTCTGCCCTACTGGTTGAAAGTGGAATTACACCTGCCTTAAACAACCCTGCAGCAGCCTGCTGTAGCTAGGGCTAACAACAAGCTAACACTAACATGAGCTAACTAATACTGAAATAAACCATGAAGTAAAAAGATCCATACACAAAAATAGCATCACTTACAAGTCCAGAAGCAACAAAGTCAGGTCACCATCAGTCCGTGATGTTGTAGCCTCCTTTAGCTTCCTCAAGCTAGCATAGGCCGCACCAATGTTTACTCTGGTTTTAGCTCTTAGTTTTGCCACCAAAGACATTGCCTTCTTCGTTGTTATGCCAAACGTCTTCTTTTTCTTGTTGTTGTGCTTTTTATTGATGTTCAACAAACTGAGAATGCTAAGAGCGCCCCCTAGAACACCTACCTGCTCCACAAGACTATCTAGTGTTGTTTTTGGTCAGTAGAGGGCAGCAGAGTGGTGTCAAGATGAAACTGGTCTAGTTTCTAACTCAACTATCACTGAGATTAATGTTAAAGATTTAGCTTACAGTGAAAAGTTACTTTAAGAACAATGATATTCACTCCCAGTACAAAAATAAATAAATAATAGTGACGCCTAATAATCAGTGATGCATGGTCTTTAATGCACCCACTCTGTCACTTCCTTCCTCTCTCCATAAACTTCCTGCTGCTACCAAAGGATGAAACAGCAAATCCGGATCAGGTGGTCTTAACAGAAGCTTGGTAAGACCTGATTTCATTTCTGTAGAAATTTGGCGGCTTATTGTAACATCGTAGTGGTGAATTTAGACATGGATCCAAGGTGTTTCCCCTAGTAACTGGTACCAGGTTGTCGCCCCTTTTTCAGTACCTGGTTTGATGAGGTTCCAAGCGCACCATGCCAGGCCCAAAATGCAGCCTCGCGGATTGAGGATCACTGATTGGCTAGTGGCTGAATCACCTGTTTAGCAGCTCATCAGCCTGTTAATCATCTGCTGAATAAAATCAAGTGTGTTGAAACAGGGTAACAACTAAAACATGCTGGTGTCATGTTCTGTGTCCCTTTGTTCCCCAGCCCCTCCAGTTCCCACTCCAGGTTCTCCTTTTGTGTTTTCTAGCGCCCTCATGTGTCTTGTCTGCGTCTCCTCATGTTTCTCCTGGTGTTCCCCGTTTGCCCTCTAGGTTCCCCCCTCAGACTTCCCTCTCCCAGGTCCTGTGCTCTCTTGGCCCCCTCTTAGCCACACCCCTGTAGTTTCTTTCTGTCGTGTTTTCCTTTAGTGTCAGTTTCCCCTTAGAATATTAGTTATGGTTCATGCCTTCTGGTCTTTTGTTTTTTCTCTTAGTCATTTTCCTTTGTTACAGCCTTTCATTATTTAGTGTGTTTTTCCCACCAGTGTTTTCTTCCTCCTCCCTGAGTTAGTAATTGTGTTCACCTGGTCCCTCTCCCCACACACCTGCAATTCATCTCCCTCTCATCTCCCCAGTCTATTTAAGCCCTGTCTTGTCACTCTGTGTTTGTTGGTTCATTGTTGCTGTCAGTGTGACTAATTCTGTCAGTCCTGCTCGTTCTTTTAGCGTTTTTGGATCTCCTGATCACCCCCTGCATTTTTTGGACTTTGGCTTCCTGCCCCTTTGGTTTTTATGTTTGTTTTGGGTTCATCCTAAAATAAAAGGATTTTTCTTTATCTACTCCTGCCTCGTGTCATCCTGGGTATCTGCATTTTGGGTCTGAACCATCCTCCATAACGTGACAGCTGGATACCGGCCCTCCAGGACCAGGATTGAGAACCTCTGCACTAGGATCGCGCAGCAGTAGCTCAGGAGGTAGAGCAGGTTGCCTCATGATCGGAGGGTCATGGGAGCAATTCCAGCTCCCGCCAGGGGTATTCTGCTGCTGTGTCCTTGGGCAAGACACTTCACCCAACTTTACTGTATTGATGGTGGTCAGAGAGGCCGACGGCACCAAAACGGCAGCCTCGCTTTTGTTAGATCACCCCAGGACGGCTGTGGTTACATGGTAGCTCATCATCACTGGCAGTGTGTGAATGAGAGAGTGTGTGAAAGCATGTTTGAGTGTCCTAAAAAGCGCTGTATAAGTTTGATGGTTATTATTAATGTTATTATTAGGATTCCTGATCCTAGATGCAAATGCAGCAGGTGGATCCAGTTTTCCTGTGTGCTTGAGCAGACTCGGGTCTGGCTGAAGAGCAGGATCTGATCCAGACAGCAGCTAAGTGAGGATGTTTGTGGTTTAACCACTCCTACTACTGGTTCTGTAAACAGGTTTAGTTTCAGCATCTCCTATCCTGGTTGTGATGAGCTGAGTGGTGAGAAGAGGAAACACTGCTGTTTGTAAAACCTCCCATTAAACATGCAACAAATGATTAAAACTTAATGAGCAGAGAGGTTTTATCAGGACAGCGATAAGCGGCTGCAGAGTCCACCTTCACAGGTATGACTAGTGTCCGCTGACTGCAGAGCACTCTTTCAAATGAAGCCAGTTGTCATCCACCAATTATTCTAAATCATAAGCTGATGTATTATAGAACTTCCTGTTTGTGTCCGTCTCCTGCCTGCATGAAAACACATCTCTGGAACCTCTACTGCACTTGGAAGGTCACCTGAGAACATTCTCCACCTGCCTCAGGTTTACCTTGGTCCAGCAGGTTCTTACACATGAAAACGCTGGTGTGTTGTTGACTCTCTGACAATTTCATTTATTTTGTGTGTGTGTGTGTGTGTGTGTGTGTGTGTGTGTGTGTGTGTGTGTGTGTGTGTGTGTGTGTGTGTGTGTGTGTGTGTGTGTGTGTGTGTGTGTGTGATTAACAGACAGAAGCTGGATTGCTTGCAGCCACTGACTTTCTCAGGAATCATCTGGCTAAAACATCTGTTTTAATATTTCTTGCACTAAATGTGTTTCTAAAACATTAACAAAGTTTTCTTTGCCAAAGACAACAAGACGTCAGAATTGTCATCAGTTAGAGATGAAGACACCACCGCTGTCTGAGCTGAGACTTTCTTTCATCACCTGCTGAGTTTCTGATTGGTTTAGGACCCAGACTTGGAGTGGAAGTGATTGATGGGGAGGTTATCATCTGGGGCTTTAACATGATCAGGTGGTTCAGCTAAATGACGTGTGTCTGGAGTAAAGTTTTATGATGATGACTAGTAATAATAATGAGTATATCTTAAATTGGTTTCCTGATTGTAAAACGTATTTTTGTTGCACGCGAAACACTGCAGACATCCCTTCCTTTGTGCATGTTAAAGACCCATAACCGGATGCTTTCAGCTCAGAAAGTGAGGAAATGTTTGTCTGAATGATTTTATGTTGCTATAACAACACTGTCTAACAGGAGGACATGTTGCTCTTGGGGTCAGATGTCTCCAGAATCAACCAAGGCCTTAATTTAGAGGCCACTGAAGACATGTTGAAAGTGTTGTCTTTAAGCACGTAAACATCAGCATTACGTCAGGTCCTCGTCGCGCCCACGATCAGCTCCCCACCCCTTAGTGGGTGGACACCAACCTCCAACCAGGTAAATGGCTCTCCCATTAACCTTCATCGCTCAGTTATCATTCCCTCATGACAGAGCTCCTGATGCCTGCTCGACATATCACTCCCCCAAGTAGCCAAAAGCCCAGCTTCCTGTTCCTTCTCCTCTCCAATCCCTGCTCATCTCAACCCTCCCTGAGACACTTCCATCATGCCCTAACCCAACTCCATCTGCCGGTGGTTATCGGCAGCTAGCATGCCATGTCTTCTCCAACACCACCACCAGCAGTCCCTCTGATCCCCGCAACGCTCCACGACTGTGACTGACACGTTGCCTGACCATGTTTAGGAAGTCTGCCACATAAAGCGATTTTAGCAGCTTTATTACTGGCAGTTTCAGCATCTGCCAGAATGAGCCGCTTCAGGTTTCAGCCGGCCTGTGTTTTTGTTGGGATGAAAAGGGGAGGTGGGGAGAGAGAGAGAGGAAATTAGAGGGGGGGGGGGGGGGGTAGATACAGGAACCAGACAAGAGAGCAGCCCTTCCTCACTAAAAACACAAAGATCTATGGTTTCCACCATCAGATATGTTTTCTGCTCTAAAAGCCAAATAATGCGTCACGTTTCTGAGATCCGCCCATCCAGTCAGCGGTGAGTGAGGGGCAGAGGAAATGAAAACCAGGCATGAAGATGGAGGAAAGGATACAGGAGGAGGAGAAAGCAGCAAATTGAAGCAGCTGGTCAGAATAAGCTCAGAGTGGTGTCATTTTATCAGAACCTTTCACACAAACAGCATCTAGACCTACCAAAGAGACGAAAAGATGAAATTCGTGTTTGTAGAGCCTCTTTTATAAGACACACCATGCCGGCAAATCGGCATAATATTACCGCAATGGTATCTTCCTCACACAGGCGATGGGTGCTGCATAGGGTGAGGGAGACTTTACAATCCACCCTTTCACCAACATGTCTACTCCTTGACTTCCTTGTACATCGGCTTAGGAATGGAAGAATAAGCTTTTTGCACTGGAGTATCATCTGTCAGTCTAATTGACATTTTGAGGGATGGGATACATCCAACGTCATCCCCATCATTGGCAAATGCTGCAGATTGTTCAAAGAGCACTTTCTTGACCACCTGCTGCTTTTCTGGGTTCAGATGTGAAATGTCAGCTGGTGGCAGCCATGGCTCAGATGAGGGTGTGGTGGGGTTGGTGGTTCTAACACCTACACTCACCTGACTAGCTGCTGTCTGCTCTTTGTTCTGGTCCTCATTTCTTCTCAATTCCATGACCTTTGTGATGTGCTGGATAGAGCCCACTTGCGATCTCCTCGGGATAACAATGTCATACTTATTGTGGTTAGAGATAGGTAGGGTAATGAGAGACCACTTACTCTGTTCACCTCGAGAAGACCCTCTCCCACTCTCAGTCGCTCTAACGTGGTACTGTCCGAAGCTTCGTAAAAGATTACTGGATCAGATGTATCAAATGATGGGGGTACTCTGCACCGAACATTAACTGTCTTGCCTGCTGGAATGTTCACATCCTCTTTTCCCACTCGGATTGCAGCAATCCTGTCATCTGAGTTTTTCTGAGTCTGAATGAAGCTGACAATAGCTTGTACCTGGTCAACCTCTACACCAAATGCCTTCTGGAGAAGGTCAATGGCCATAGTGACTGAGTCTCCAGAGGACTCTCTCCGGCTGATCATCTCTTGAAGTACATTGGACCCTAGCAAGGGCTGAGGGAGAGGGAGCTGGCTGACCAGGAAAGGAACCTGTACTGCCAAATCTGGACTGTTATTTCCTGGAAGGTTAACTGTCAGCTCCACCTATCCATCATACGGTATGGTCTGTCCATTTGCAGAATAAAAGTCAAAACGTTCTCCAGAGCCAAGGAGGTCTTTCAGAGGTCGCACTGGGTGAATGGGGACAAATGTCTCTCTCCAGATCCTGTCAATAATGCCCACTTGTGAGCCCGTGTCAAATAACACCATCACTGCATAGCCACTGATGTAACAGTTCAGCAAACTCTTACCCCCAATCAGAGGTACTGTGTTGATGCTCCGGTCAGATGCTAATACCTCATTCAAACCTGTGTCACACTCCTTTTTGAGGTGTTTTTGTTGTTTCCTTTGCCATCATCTTGGTATGGCATTTATTGGGTCAGTTTGTAGTTGCATGACCGATTTTGACAGTACCTCAGGTGAAGCTGTTTCTTGTTTTTCTGACTGCTTTGTTCTCTTTAGACAGCCAACTGCACGGTGACCTGACTCACCACACACAAAGCAGTGGCTACATTTCTCCATGCCTCCCAGTGAGCAGTTAGAACAGCAGGGCTTATGGGGCTTTCTGGGAGTGAGAGGCTGGTGAGGCACCGGTGTGTATGAGTACAGCACCCTTGGTTGAAACATGTGCTGTGGAGGGATGGTGTTTGAGTGGCTGACCTGCTTGGCTGCAGTTTGTTGTTCCATTAGTGTTGCCACAATGTCTGTCAGGACCTTTACTTGAGCCCTCAGCTTTTGTATAGCATGTTGTTCTCTCCAGTCCCCAACATGGTCTCTCTCATCAACATGAACACTGTGAGCATATGAGGCTTGTTGTCTGGGAACATTACTCAACCTTTGTTGGTGTTCATTTTCATCACTGATCATCTTAAAGCTGACAATCTCTTCATCAGTGACTTCAGCCTTTGAAAGGAGTGGTCTGAACTGTTGTCTGATATCAGCATGTTTGAACCCTAAACCCTGGTAGATGGTGTGAAGAAACACCTCTTGAATCGTTTTAGGGTCATAGCTAATGTCTGTTCTAGACTGTTTTGACAGGAAAAGTATTTTCTGTTTCAATCCAATCATGCGATACCCAAATTGCTGTGAAGGTTCTTGTTCATTTTGTTTAGCACACATGAGTTCTTGAAAGAGTTCAGTGTTTGCCTTCTCACCAAGATGGGATCTCAGGAAGCCCTTGAGTTCATCGACTGTCATCTCATCTTTGTTGGCGATCATATCTTTGAACGCTCCTGACTTGACAATCCTCAGGACTCCACGGATGATCTCTGCCTCAGTGAAACCCTCTCGAAGCCCCTCCTCTATTTGTCTGGAGATGTTGTTGTAAGTGATGTCAGAGTTTTGATCTCCAATTTGCCCTCCATGCACCTTAAATTCTCTGTGCTGTAGGTGTGGGAGGTCCTTTAGGGGTACTATCCTCTCGGCTTCTTGTGATGGCGGATGGAGCTGTTGGAAACCACTAGTGCCCTGATGCAGTGTACCTGTCATGTCTTTGCACTGTTGCAACTTTTTACTTGGTTCATCATGGAGTAACTGTAGTTTGTCCACCCTTTGAATGTCAGCTCTAGAGTTATGGTGCTGTGTGGAAGGGGGTACAATGGTGACTGTTTGGGGATCTGAGTTTTGATCTATGTGAATGTGACTCTTATCCTGTGCAAGGTGATCAGCTGATCTAATGGATATGTCTGTGGACATTTTAGTTTGGGTTGTAAATTTATCCTCATGATTAGTTAAAGCAGAGCATTCAGTTACATTACACACCAAGTAATTTAACATCAACAGCTGAATCATGCCTTCATCTTCAGATTTAAGTAATGATTCTGACAGCATGTAGTCCAGAATGTTGTCCATACAGTCTTCTTCATCACCCGATGCCACACGCTCCGCTTCCTTGCTGTCCGCTGCAATGTCTTTGGCCAGTCAGTAAACATCTCTCCCAGACAGCTCAAACAAGTTCTTCTTGATGCTCCACACCAATTGCTTACGATGTGTAGGCATGATGTGTTCTGCCTACTTCAACAGCAGTGCGACGCCCCCAGATAGACGAAGACCCTGCTCCGGCTCCACCCACTCTTTTGGACGTCCACTGGTTATGATCTCGGTCTCACACGTTGTCCTGATGGTTCTGGTATCACTGGATCCACACCCCTCAGATGGCCTGATGGAGGCAGATCCCGGACGAGCCCCCAGAATGTGTTACCAGTCCCAAGAATGGTACCACAGCAACAAAGTTCGCGTCTGCGAGATATGAAGAAATGTCAGCAGCAATGACAGACACCAGTGCATCATTTCATGTCAATATCGCATCTCTTTATTTCACAATAAAACTTACACAGGAAAACTTTACTAAAACTCAGTCTGTCTTCTTTCAGTCTATATAAACTGCACATTCAGAGCTTTAAATCTAAAACACTAACATATTACCAATATGATGACCTTATTACTGAAGCAACACCTCTGTAACCTTAAGTATTAAGGGTTGTTAAAAACAAACATGACCCTCTATGAGAATATAGTGGAGTTACAGAATTTTCATCTGCATTCAGAACAGTAATAGCCCAATTACCATGGTTCAGGACTACAACGTTTTCAGTAATAATCATGTTCTTGGACTGATACAAACACTTAGAAACCCTTTACAGTTTAACAATTCAATCTTAACCAGTGTAATTTATTTAACAATTACTCTTAACCACAAACACGAAATAACATGTTCTTTCTGTGAGTAAACCCTTTACCAAAATAATTCAACTAGTTTTAATATGGAAGAGACATTTGTAAGTTTAATGAGTGAATAAAGCTCTCATTGCACTCCTGCAAGCCATTTCACAGGGCTAACCAGGGAAACTGACTTAGCTATCTGCCTGCCAGACACTGAGCAGGGCACACTTAACCCGCTATGCCCGCGAAAAAAACATGCCTGTAAAAGACAACGCTGCAGCAGAAGACAGCCAACAATAAGTATACTTTTACTCCTTAACCATTTTCAAAACACATTTTAACTGAGGCGCATGTTATATCACACTTTCAGAGTTCTTTCAGAGTGTTTTTAACTGAACACTAACCTCCGAGATATGAAGAAATGTCAGCAGCAATGACAGACACCACCGTTTCATGTCCATATCGCGTCTGACGTGAGGGGCGGAAGCTTCTTTTTAATTTCAACCCCACGATGCACCAGCCCATTTGACAAAGGTTCCGCTGCTTGAATATTTAACCAGTTTCCCTGCGGTCCATTCAAATAAAATAAAAATTTTAAAAAGTGTGATGAAATCAACTATTGATATATTTATAATTTTTACATTAACAAAAAATAATGATCACACCATTATTTTGTGTGCACTACATTTACACAAATGATAACTAAAGTCACCTGACTTCTCTGATAATATCTGCCTGCCTGACTCAAACAAACAGAACAAGAGAGGAAAGGTTCTTTATGACAGAACGTGTCAGAAATCTGCAGAATGGGCCTGCAGCTACATCCTTTAGTCTAGGTCTCCTGTTTCCTCTCTCTCTCTCACACACACACACACACACACACACACACACACACACACACACACACACACCATGCTATAGGTATTCCAACAACAAGAACCAACAAGACTGCAAGTTTAAACTAAACTCAACTCAAACATTCTGGGAGTTTTTCTTTGCCTTCTGGGTTTACACTCCACAACTTTGCA